TCGCTGTGAGTTGATTGTTGTATAGCTGTTAACATACGTAACCATATTTCTGTTGTGCCTGGAAACTTATTATAAAAGAGGTGATATTTACTAGAACCTAATAGAACCTGTCCTAACCAACCAAAGAAACCTATCTAACTTTACCCAACTTCCTAGCCGGGGGGGTGGAGCCTTGGTCATATCAAACAAAGTGCCCCAAAATGGCTCATTTTCACAAGAAACAAGAAAGTGGCAGCCCAGTGGGAACTTCGCAATCTAAAGAATGACTGGCTTAAAAATAAAGCATGTGAAGCACAAAAACTTGCAGATTAACACAAGATGCATGAAATTTTCATTTCCACTAAAACATTTTATTGGCCAGTCACTCGTGGTGCAGCCCCGCCTCCGCTCATCTGACGGTAACCTCATAATAAAGACGATGAAGGCCTCCTTCAGCGCTGGGAAGAGCACTACCATTCATTGCTCAACCGAAACACTGATGTGGATGTCCTGACTACCTAGCAGGTCCTTCAGCATCCAGAGCTGACCCACCTCAGCTATACGTACTCCATCCCTGGATGAGGTTGGCAAAGCCTCAGGGCCTGATGGAATCCCAGCCGAGGTGTATAAAGCAGGAGGGCCTCTGCTTACCAGCCGTCTCCACTCTCTCCTGGAGAATAATAATAATAATAATAATTAACGGTTTATTGAAAAAGTTCTGCAGCCCGAAGGCTGAAAATATACATTGGACATAAATGACTTACATACATTGGTGGTTTAACAAAAGCCGTCATTAGAGAAAGGTAAAAGAACATACAGTGAACATACAGATTAATGTAGGTGTTGAACAGCAAACACGTAGTGTAGTAACTCCCTCCCAGATGGTGTTATGATGGGCCTGACGTGGTGTAGTAATTCCCTCACAGATGGTGTTATGAGGGACCTCACGTGGTGTAATTCCCTCACAGATGGTGTTATGATGTTACAGGCATCCCCCGCGTTACGGAAGGGTTGCGTCCATGGAAAATTGACCGTATCGCGAGATTCCGTAACGCGAAACCTATTTTCCCATTGACTTCCATTATAAAACTGGAGATGCTTTCCTAAGGAATTTTTTTGGCCCCAAAAAAGTAATTCAAATACTTTTATGAATGAAAATAAACATTTATAAACACATACAATATAGTACATTAAATGATTTATGATATACCTTCTTAAAACATCAAGTTTAATATCCAATGTAATGCCTTTGCGGCTTCTTTTTGCACTGCTGCGGTTACTTCCACTTCATGGCCTCTTTCCAGTCATCTTGAATAAGGGGAATGCACTGTACTGTACTTACTGTATGTTTGTAAAAGTTAAATCCAACTGCTGGGGCAAGAAACATGCGCGCACACTGGATGTAAACAATGGAGTGACTCCGCGTGGTTATGCCACGCTTGGCATTAGCAAACACCAAGAAATCCACACCAAACAAATTATAATTTTAATAAAAAATTTTAATTTATACATACAGTATAGTGATTTTTTTTTTAATTGTTAAAATTTACCCCAATTAACGTAAGGGCAGATTTACGGGCAGTATCGCGAAATTATTGGTCATAATTTACAAATTCTTTAAGAGCGAAATTCCGCAACCCAGGGTTCCGTAACGCGGGGGATGCCTATATGTAAGAAAAGGAGGAAATTCCCCAAGCTCTTATAGATGCCTCCATTGTCAATATTTATAAGAACAAGGGAGACCGGTCAGACTGTGACAACTACCGTGGGATCTCCCTGCTCTCCTTAACTGGCAAGATTATAGCCCGAGTCCTCCTAAACCGACTTCTTCCTGAGGCGGAAAACTTCCTCCCAGAATCTCAATGTGGTTTTAGACTATCACGTGGCACCACTGACATGATCTTTGCTGCCCGCCAGATACAGGAAAAGTACAGAGAACAGCGCCGTGACCTGTACATGGCTTTCATTGACCTAACCAAGGCCTTCGACTCGGTCAACAGGGAAGCCCTCTGGTGGACCCTCAGCCGTTTTGGCTGCCCACCAAAATTCATCGCCATTGTGAGGCAACTCCGCGATGGCATGAACAGCAGTCCTGCACAACGGCACCCAGTCAGAGTTCTTCCCCATCCAAACTGGGGTTAAACAAGGGTGTGTACTGGCACCAACTCTCTTTTCCATCTTCTTGGCTGTCTTCCTTACTTGTGCCAATGCCAATTTAGCTCGCGGGTACATGTACCAGGTGAAGGGGGGTCTTTTCAACATAAGACGACTCCAAACAAGAACAAAGGTGTCGGCAGCTTCCATTACTAAACTTCAGTATGCAGACGACCTCACCCTTGTTGCTCACACTGAACACGACCTACAGGAGATCCTGAACACCTACACAGACGCGTATGCACACTTCGGCCTTGAGGTGAATGTATGTAAGACTCAGATTCTCTTTTAACCTGCCCCTGGTTCAGACACACCTCCACCACCCATCCAGCTTAACGGTACTACCCTATCTAATGTTACCCACTATCGGTATCTCGGCTCCCACCTGTCCACCATCGCAGACATCGATGAAGAGATTCAGCATCGGATCAGATGTGCATCTCAAGCCTTTGGCAGACTCCGAAATTGTGTCTTCAGCTGTTGGGAGCTGAAATTATCTACAAAGCTGCACATATATTGAGCAGTGGTCCTCCCCACCCTGCTATATGGCAGTGAGACAAAGGTCACATACAGGAGGCACCTCAAGGCACTTGAAAACTTTCACCAATGTAGTCTACGTTCCATCCTCAGAGTTCGCTGGAAAGACGAGAACAAATGCCAGTATTTTTGCTGACACCAACTGTAGGAGCATCGAGGCTACCATTATCCATGAACAACTATGTTGGACTGGCCATGTTACCCGCATGGACGACAGTAGATTGCCAAAGCTTTGGCAGTCTCCTAACAAATAGTAAACATAACACTGGCAGACAATTGAAAAGGTATAGGATAGTCTTAAGACAAACCTGAAAAAGTGCCAAATCAACCCCCTCACCTGGGAGTCGATTACGCTTGGAGAAGCACCGCACGAGAAGGTGTCAATGCTTTTGAGTTAGCCCGACTACAAACCGAGGCAGACAAGCGCCAATGCCAGAAAGACGCTGCCACTGCCTCTCCCGCAGTAGATAGAGCCCTCCACGTGTGCAATGAATATGAACGACGCTGCTGGTCCTGTATCGGTCTCTTTAATCACCTCAAAACTCACCAACCAAGGTGACAGCCATTAATAACTCGTACAATTGTATCATAGTTGGATAATCGTCTACTCGATTCTGAGTGACAGCAAAGTAGTAGTACAGTAGCAGTGTGCAGTACATTACAGTAAAACGTATTTTGATGGCACGATGGATTTGGTGTGATGATTTATTTGTTATTTTTGTGACAATATAGTAATTGTAAAAGCATTTTTTTTGACTGAGTTAATTTGATAATTACTCTCTGTATTACTATATTGTACTGTACAGAACTGTGTTTACCATAATATGTAGATGCAAAAATGTGACTCCCAACTTTTCAGGCATGATTCTTGGGATGCATAAAAATATATCAACCCAAAGGTCCCTCTATGCACCAAAGTTTTAAATCCCAGAATGCTCTGGTAGATGATAATTTATTTTATAATGTCACACAGAAAAATTTGCACCTTGCCCTATAAATAAATACCAGTACAGTGAGTTCTGCTATAACGCGTGTTTTGATAACGCGAATTTGCTCTAACGCGATTTATGAATTCGGAACAATATTTGTATAACGCGAACGCTTGTTTGCTATAACGCGATTTTTGCTTACTATTTCTCCAATTTTGTGGTATTAACTGTGAATATGGTAAAGAAGAATATCTCCAAAAAGTGTTCTGATGATAGAATTCCCGGTGATTATCGTAAAAGAAAGGATATAACACTTGAAGAGAAGCTCGATGTTATCAACCTCAAAATCACCCTTCTCCCCCATCAAGTTACATTCATATTTTTTCAAGGTAAAGTGTTAAGTTTACTGTATGATTTCATTATTAGATATGAATGTAACATTTATTTAGACTGTGCTATCCTTTGTGTTAGGCTAACTACTAAATTTTTTCGATTTCGAGTAATCTGCACCTAACCCTATTTTCTCCATAAGCCCTGTTATTTCTATTACGCGATTTTCTATAACACGATATTTTACAAGAACACAATTATGCGTTATAGCAGAACTACCTGAGTTCTGCTATAACGCCGCGAATTTGCTCTAACGCGATTTATGAATTCGGAACAATATTTGTATAACGCGAACGCTTGTTTGCTATAACGCGATTTTTGCTTACTATTTCTCCAATTTTGTGGTATTAACTGTGAATATGGTAAAGAAGAATATCTCCAAAAGCGCTCTGATGATAGAATTCCCGGTGATTATCGTAAAAGAAAGGATATAACACTTGAAGAGAAGCTCAATGTTATCAACCTCAAAATCACCCTTCTCCCCCATCAAGTTACATTCATATTTTTTCAAGGTAAAGTGTTAAATTTACTGTATGATTTCATTATTAGATATGAATGTAACATTTATTTAGACTGTGCTATCCTTTGTGTTAGGCTAAATACTAAATTTTTTCGATTTCGAGTAATCTGCACCTAACCCTATTTTCTCCATAAGCCCTGTTATTTCTATTACGCGATTTTCTATAACACGATATTTTACAAGAACACAATTATCGCGTTATAGCAGAACTACCTGTATACAGTAAGTAGCGAATGGGATGCTGAACCAAAAAATGTGGCTTGTGCCACTGAATGGACATTTTTTTTTTTTTTTCAAGCCCAGAGTTGATGCAGCTTTATCTAACTTGATTAATAAAATTTATGATCTCTTCTAGATATGGGGGTCCAGTTGGGTCGTGCAAGGGAGTTTATGAAGCGGAACATAGTATTGATTATTATGCTACCAGCGATTGTTGGCTTACATTACGGCTGGCAGAAAATTCAAGATATCGAGTTATTTGTTCCCAAACAACAGCGTAAAGATCTTCCGGTTATTCAGGTGAGATTTTACTTTACAAATGCTGGTAGCATCAGTTAACAGTAATGAGAGGTAATGCATAGTGTTCAACAAAATAATTAGATCTTTCTATCTGTTTCCATCATAGGAATGCCCCTCTAAATGTGGCTATCAAGCCATCCCAAGTCTTCTCACACGTTTTTAGACCTTTACCTGTGGCACCAGCTCACTTTCCTTCTGGGGTGCAGATTATTCTTCCATCACTGTATACACATACAATTCCCCCCTTCAGGAAGACGGTTACCTTCCCAATACTGTAATCCCTTTGATTGTACCCCTTTCAGGAAAATAGTTACCTTGCTTCAACTACCCATCACCTCCACATATTCAGACCACCTCAAAGTATTTCTAACCTATTCCTTTTTCGCTCCACATGCTGATATTTAGAATTGACTTTTCATATTTGTAGTTTGGGGCCATGTTTATATATTACAATACAGGTACAGGTATTTTATTATTTCCTCAAACGACCCAGTCACCATCCTCCTAAGTGCTGCTCACATCTTTATTTGATTCTCCATTGAAGTGTGTTTGTACCATACTGATTATAAATGTGTATATTACTGTACCTAAATTCCCTCATCTCTTCTAGTATGTTTCCTGACCTTCAGCCAGTTAATTTCTCTTTTGTTCATACAGTATGTTGTAAGGTACCTTGTTTTACCATGAACAATATAGTTCTGTATTACAGATACAGTAGTTCTATTTCTGCTCTCTCTACCAGCCATCCAAAACCTTCCATATTTTCCCAAAACTCAATACAGTACAGTGAACCCTCGTTTAATGAACACCTCGGTTAACGTAATTTCGATTAACGAACTGCCTTCCATAAGGATCTTCAATTCGGTTAACGAAAAAAAATTCGGTTAACGAAGTTCTTACGAACCGACCTCAACATGTTTTCGCTTGCACTGACCGGGCAACCAGCTTTAGTATCAGTCCGCCAATACATTAATCGGTTCTAGGGCTTAAATTCCTTACTATTTTAGTAAATATCAAGAAGTTTATACTATTCAATAATTTTAAAAGTTTAATATTCAATTTTTTAGTCATTTTAACAATTATTGAACATAATTGAAGGTAAAGTGACTAGTTTAATGCGCGGCATCCAGCCTCCTAACACAGCAAACAGGAGTTAGTCTCTCTGTTTTCACTGGAGGTAACATCTTGCTTGAGACTCTCTTCAACTAAACGCTTTTTTTCTGTGTTTCCAAGCAAATTATTGGTCACTTTGAAATATATTTTACATATTGACAATATATAATGCAGTGCAGTGTTGATTTAAGGAAAATAATCTTGAATTACACCAAGAGAGCTAAAATTTTATGGGTAAAATGGCGCCATGGGGTGACTTCTCTTCCACCCCAATGCCTTCTCTTCTTCCTTCTCCTCCACCCCCATTCTAAATCCCATCATCATCATCATCGTCCAGGAGCCTTCTACATACACACCTCAAAGTAAGTGAACTTTTCTACCATTTTTGTTGAATTTAGGAAATTTTCGGTGAGCTGGAACCAATTACCCAAAAACCCATTGAAACAATGGTTTCGGTTAACGAACTTTTCGGTTAACGAACGACCTTCTGGAACGGATTGAGTTCGTTAACGGAGGGGTCACTGCACTGTATGTATTTTGAGAATCCAGTTTGTACCTAAATCTCTATCACCTTTTAATGACCCTCTCTCTTGATAAAGATGAGTGTTGCATTTTTTGGCCATGTCTGCCATCGTGAGTTTAAAAGGAAAAAAAAAAGATATTTCAGCCTTCAAAATGGATACATCATCATATAATAAGAAAAAATCATGACAGATAAGCTAAAGGCCACATTAACATTAATATGGCTGAGGAGTGGGTGTAAGTGGTGTTATCTTCTATACCCAGTTGTGGTTTCAGGAGAACTTTCTTGTCTTCTGGCAATGTACAATAATGCATTATGTGCAAACTGAAACTTGATGACAGTGGGGCACATAATCTTTATCCCCCTCCTAACCCATTTACTCAACTTATTTTATTTTTTCTTTTGTGTCACTAATGTTTCAGTAGTGTACTGTATCTTGTTTCAGTACAGTAATTATCTTCTAAGAAATATTTTTTTTGTCTTCACAGGGTGCAAAATATGTTGAGCAAGAAATCAAGAATAAGTTAGGCTTGAAAAAAGAATAACCAGTTTTCATCTTTCTGTACATATTTGTAATTAGCAGTGTGAAGGTAAGATGGTGAAATAATTATGTTGTTGAAATATATTGCATTTTTGTGTCATTGCCTGGTGAGGTGCCTGCAGTCCATATTCATAGATCTGTTTTTACATAGAACATTTTAAAGCTAGAGCATAGGGGATTTTATTTTCACTACATTGATTCAGTGAGTCGGATGGTTGTTGTAAATAGGTTATTTACTGTACGGGTACTTGATATCACACATTGATTAGTGGTTATAAATAGGTTATGTTCTTAATAGTAACACCTCAGGAGCTCCACTCACCATCACACCCTTTTCCAAACAGAATTACAAGCCCCAACTTCATGGCAGAGTCCACACTGCTTACATTTCTTGCATCAACTTTGCTCATCCAACCCAGCCAGTCACATATTGTAAATTATTCTCATACAGAGTAAGGAAGTGATAGTAATAGGGTCTTCATATACAGGTTGCACTAACAAATATCCAAACATCAGTTATAAAAAAAAAAAAAAAAAGTTGCCTACAAAGCTCTACACCTCCAAATCTTTAATTGTAGGTACGCTCACTCCAAAGGGTATCTTTACGGAGAGGTCTGATGAATTTCAAAACAAACACTGCAAATTCTGTTGTCTCGGTAGGGTTGTCAAAATCGTTTGTCCATTGTTTCATATTCTCTCTCACAAAATCATAAAGATAATTTTCGGAACAAATTTTTGGAGCAAGTGTACATAAAAAAATAACAGTACATACTGCACTGTACTTGTTGTTGTATTATTATTAGCCTTATTTAGTGTTAGTTTACTTTCAGTTATACATATTATATATTAGTTTAATAATTATCATACAGTATGTGAGTGTATGTCTGTCTTTTTATCAATCTCTCCAGCCTTTCATCTAATTCTAATTAATGACTTTCACTCCTTTAGCCATCATATACAGTACTTATGACAGGTTTAAATTTCACAAGCATTACATTACTACAGTATCTGGGAACATGAAAGGCTTCTCTGAGTAGGGATATAGTTCTTAGAATATACAGCACATGTGTAAGTTGGAAAAATCAAGTACAGTATGTATGAAGTATTTTTAACTGTTATCTCTGTCATTACTGTTCTTTGGGGTTGCAATACCAGTATACCATACATTGAAGTAGAAGAGAAGTACAGGTACTGTATATACATGTACAGGGGGCCCCCCAAATTCGCGGTGGTTAGGTTCTCAAAATGGACACGAATCACCAAACCAGCGAAGAACATTTGCGGACCGGAGAAGGAGGGGGGGGTTACATTTTTATTTGTGTACAAAGAAATGTATATTGTATTCCCTTTATGTGTTTCCCCTTAGGACAATTATTTCTTGTACCTGTATTATATATATCTGTGTGTGTAATAATAATAATAATAATTAACGGTTTATTAAGATAACATGGCAGCCCGAAGGCTGAAAATATGCAATGAACAGAGATGATGTGGTGAAATCGGGGAGTGGGTCACTTGATTGACAAAGGCTTTCAATATGAAAACATAAGAAACATAGAGTCAACATATAGTTTAACTATAGATCTGGTACAGTAGAAGTCCAAAAATCCGGACTGCTTGGGGATTGGGTCGGTCCGGATTTTCCGGATTCTCAGGCAATACTTTTAAAATTAAAATTTAAGGAGGAATAAAGAAGAGATGAACAGGTACATTTTGATAGTTTATTCATTAGCAAATATAGCATGCTTCATTTATCAAAACGAGCAGTTTTAAGGAAAAAGCTGTGAATTCTAGAATTTTATTCTTTGCCTTTTTTATATCATAAATTGTAGACTTTCCAATGTCGTATGTTTCCATTAGAACAGTATTGCTCACACCACGTTCTAGTTTCTTAATTATTTCAAATTTGTCACTCAATTTCAACGTGTTCTTCTTTCTCTTCACACAATGAAGTTTATCTACTTTAGGAGCCATTATTATGGGCCTGTACAGTACTCTGTAAATGGAAAGAGTAGGACTCAAAATTACATACTTTGTCACAGTTTGATTGCTCGTTTTAAAGTGGCGACCACATGGTCACTTGTTGTCACTGTGCAGCTGTGGAAGTCACGCATGCACACATACACACAAAAGCCAACTAAAAAAAAAAAGTTTTTGAAAGGTCCGGATTTCTGGCATCCGGATTTTTGGACTTTTACTGTACTGTGGGAGCTGGTGTGTAGACATTCTTGTGACCTGATGTCGGCGCCAACAAAGTCCTTCCCACTGTCTTGATGGCCATAGTACCTGACTGCTAAGCCACTACCTCACTGCAGCTGCAGATGCACTATGTGGTCTGGGTATGTCCTCCAACTTACACAGGGTGTTGGAGATGGTTCTTGTTCCTCATATGATGTAGTTAGGAATTCATAGTTCCTCACCTGGGTGGAGTAGGGAGTCCTCATTTCTCTCCTGGTGTAGTTTGGAGTGTTTCTTGGCTTCTTATCCAGTGTTGGGGGTGGCGAGTGTACCGCGGGCTGGGTGCGTCAACATTGACCGCTAAGCACTGATTGTCGCTCTAAAAGTTGTTTCTTCCTTTCGAGTTGAAATTGTCACGTTTGTATATCAGTTGTGGGTTGATGGTCAATCTTTGCACTGTACTGTTGGTGGGAGGATGTTGATAAATTCAGATGGGGAGAAGGAGATGGGGAAGGGGAGGGCCCGACAAACCAGGCTGGCAGCTGTCTCCATGGTCAAGAGACCATGGCCGCGTCAGCTGGCAGCGCCGACTGCACACGTCCTTACCCAATGAAGGCTGAAGGAAGAGTGTGCGTGCATGCATGCATATGTGTGTGTGTGTTCATTCCTTATGCATTTCTACAGTTTTAAAGATTGACCTGAAATGGTTGTGCACTAATTCCAGTCCCTCCACCAAGGCGAACCCAGGCAGCTCAATTAGTACAGTGGTCCCTCGGTTAATGAACGCCTCGGTTAACGAATTACCTTCCATAAGAATATTCAGTTCCGTTAACGAACAAAAATTCGGTTGACGAAATTCTTAAGAAAATGTTTCGACATGCTTTGGCTTACTCACCAGCTGGAAGATTAGTCCGCCAATACAGAAATCGGTTCTAGGGCTTACATTCGTTAAAATTGGAGTAAATATCAAGAAGGTTGTACTATTCAATAATTTTCCAAGTTTTAAATTAAATTTTTAGTCATTTTAACACTTATTTAACATAATTGCAGTACAGGGAACTAGTTTTTGGTGTGCCCAACAGCCACTTCACTCACCCACCAAGGCCTCAGTTTGTATCTCTGTTCAGTGGAGGAAACATCTTGCTTGTGGGTCTCTTGAACACAGAGTATTTTTACGTAATTACAGTACAATTATTTGTCATTCTGAAATTTATTTAACATATTGACAATATATAGTGCAGTGCAGTGTTGACTTAAAGAAAATAATCTTGAATTACACCTAGTGAACTTAAAATTTTATGGGTGAAATGATGGCATGAAGCATGGGGTGATTTCTCTTCCACCCCCACTTCCTTCTCTTCTCCCTTCTCCTCCACCCCCCTCTTCTAATTCCCATCATCATCAACCAGGAGCCTTCTACATACACACCTGCATTTTTTTTATACTTTGTATGTAATTTTCAGTGAGCTAGAACCAATTACCCAAAATCCCATTGAAACTATGGTTTCGGTTAAAAAAAATTTCGGTTAACGAACGACCTTCTGGAACGAATTGTGTTCGTTAACCGAGGGACCACTGTACTGTACTGTAGTAATATCTTTATGAATGGTACCTCACACACACACACACACACACACACATACAAATAAATAAATAATAATGGGAAAATACTCTAACAAATAATCAGAAACAAATTTATTAAAAATGCAACAGTTCACCTTCAAGTCCGTGCTTTATTAATAAAGTAATAAAGCACGGGCTTGAAGGTAGACTCACTTGTTTTAATAAATTTGTTTCCGATTATTTGTGAGAGGATTTTCCAATTATTATTTATTTGTATGTGTTTTGTGTGTGTGTATGTCTACACACACACATATTTACAATACAGGTAAAGGAAATTACTGTACTGTCTCTAGAATGAATGGCTCCCTGTCCAAGCCACAAAAATGCCAACAACTTTAAAACTACTCACAGATATTCTTGGGTACACCCAGGGTGTCATCCGCGAATAATAGAGGACCGCGAAATAAAAATCCGCAAACTTGGGGGGGCCCCTGTACAGTAATTGAATAAACAGTCATAAGTTTCATAACTTTTTCTTATCAATGTTTAATAATAAATTCTTTATCTTTACATCAAACATACACAGTAGATATGATGTTTCATTGCAGGATGTCAGGTGTACGATTAGAGGAAGAGCGTGTGAAGGGAGTGTTCTGCCACAGTGTGAGAGATCCAGCTTACATCTCAATGTTATCTCGGTACCGGAGGCTCCTTTTCTCAGTCTATGGACCAAAAGGCAGCTCAATTTTGATCTGTAATGCTGCAGGACAGGAAACCTTGGCTGCATCTTCTTCTGAGATTATTAAGCAACTACCCTTTGCTCACCCAACTATAAAGTATATTAATGCTCTAATAAGTGCTCAGAATGCAGCTTGTGGTCTTAATGGCCTCTACACTGGTGCTCTTTGTGTCAGGCTCCTAGAAGAAGCTCTCAAATGTGAGGATGACATACCTTATCCTATGGTGAGTGAGGTTTCAGAGTGGATCATATCTGAGTTACTAGACATCTTATCAAAGTCTCCAGATGAAGTTATCATGGAATTGGACATTGGAGACATGAAGCAAATTTCATCATTTGTTAAAACCATAATAGGAGCAAAAAATTGCCTAAACCTCAATAAACAAGCAGTTGATGACCTCAGTCTTAATGTTGTTAAAGCATTTCTGAAGAGCATCCCAAATGAATATTCTTCAGATGGTTTTGGCCATGTCACTATTGCCACTCAAGATGGATCATCAACTACACACACCAGAGTCTTTGACGGTGTCCTGTACAGAGAACCAGACATCTCTCCAGAACGAATTGAAAGACTGAGAGGACAGGACATGTTTAATATTGTGCTGTTCACCGTACCATTATTATATTTAGATGGGCAGGAAGAATCTGTACATTGGAGAGGAAGTGGTACAAAAGAGGAGAACTTCATTAACAAAGTTTTACCCTGTCTTCTTTCATATATGAAGACGAGAAACATCCATATTCTTGCTAACCAAAAGCCTGTGCATCCAGTCATTAAGTTTGAATTAGAGCGAGAAGGATTTTTAGTATTAGAAAGAATGGGTACAAATTTAGCTGAAGGATTAATGAAAGTGAGCCATTGCCATGCCATCAGCAACTTATCTAACCTACCATTGGAATTGGATAATGCTGTTCTTGGGAGACTGACTACAGTGGAACATATTGTTTACAATGGGAAAAGTTATGTTCTACTTGACCATGTGGAGGGATGTGTTTCTACTCTCTTGCTTCCTGTGGCCAGTCCAAGCATTGTTGGTACACTCAAGGTGAGCTATATGTACTGTACTTTTTCTCTTACAGATCATGGATAATTTTATTGTAATTTTGAGTTCATACGGAAATTTGGGTATGAAAACCTTAAAGCGATAATTTAGATGAAAACCTCAAGATTGTTAAGAGGAAAATTGAATAAAATGTTCTGTATAACATAATTCTGTATACAATTTGGTTGGGATATATTGCGAGATAGGGTCCAACAATGTTCGCTGGATACTAAATCGCAATATACATATAATGAACATTAGACTTGGGAACAACAGGCTACAGGTATTTCAATATCAATATCAAGGAACACCAGACTCGGCAGCTGACGCACCATCCAGGGAACACCAGACTCGGCAACAGATGCCACACTGCCACCCTCACTTGACAATCCCACACCTACATAAATGAACGCCAAAAATATTAGTACCTAACCTAACCTTAATGACTAAAGGCAATGGTGATACAGGGTATGTGGTGCAATGGACAGAAGATGAAGTGGAAGCACTGTCACCTAAAACAGTGAAGTAGGAGTTAGGTATTTATCAGAAATAATTTTAAAAGGCAAGAAAAAGCTTTGCTGGGGAGTTTGTCATGGTCTACACTATTGTTTGCTGATGGTACTTGGATCTTTAAAAATGGAATGGTTGATAAAATATATTCCATTAAGCTTTCCATTACCTTCACTTCACTTTTCACGTCACTAGCAACCCATTTACACACCTTAAAAGTCGTAATCTGCAGGAGAGTCGGCTCCTTTCTCGTCACCCACTCAGAAAGACTGAGCGGGCGAGCGTGAATGCGCGAGTGAGCAGCCACGGTGGCGTTTCTGGTGAGCAAATAACACACATGTTTGCCATGGCAGTACATTTGAAATATTTTCTGCCTGATTTCCCTCGTGAAATAAAAAAAATTATCGCTATATATAGGAAAATTTCGCTGATTTTGGTAACCGCTATATAAAAAAATCGTTATATCAAGTCGCGATATATCCCGATCCTACTGTACATGTACTGTACATCATTCATCACTGATGCTTGTTAATAGAACTGTATCAGATAATTAAGTCTGAACACAATCCTGTGGAATACTGTACTGTACTACTGTAAATTTTAGTTCCCAATAATTCTTATACAGTGAACCCTCGCTTTACGCGGTCAATTGAACCCACGGCGGCCTGCGTAAAGCGAACAACCTAACATGGGATTAATTGAAATAGAGACCGGGCCGACCCACAAACTCCACTTTTTCCCGACACAATATGTATGTTTTTGTAAAAATAACATCTTAACTTTATGATGGTATGCGCACACACATAATATAGAAGAGAGCAATCAATAAGAGAATAATATACTGTAGGTTAGGTTAGAAAAAAACAAGGTTAGGTTTAACACTTACGTTAGTAGAAGAGATGGGTCGGCGTACGGGAATGGAGGCTGGTTCTGAGGCAGAGGGCAGGCTACTGGCCCTCAGGTGAGTCATCATCACTGTCATCCACACTTACTAGTGCCTCCCTGACAAATCCCTCAAAGTCACCATCACTATCACTGGCTTGGGCTGGCTGTGGTGGGTTGCGGGCGAAGAACTCGGTAATGCTTTGCTGACGGCTAGTGTTGATGTTGTCGTAATACACCTTGATGTAGGGCTCCATAGTCTGCAACAGCTGGGTAGTGAAGACTTCACACCGGTTATCGTCAGGGTCGTCGGAAAGGAGGAGCTTGAGTTTCTCAACACACTCGATGGCACCCCTTACATTACCATGCGATAACTTGCGTTCTTCTTGGGATGACGCACCACCTGCCTCTTCACTGACGTCATCATCATCTAACATCTCGTCGGCAGTCACATCAGGATCCCTTATCACCTCCAGGATGTCGTCGTTGGTGGTCTCGGAGAAGCCTGCAGCTGTAACACTCTGTGCAGCTTCTCTGGCAAGGTCCACTGCTACTGCAACAGTCTGAACCTCACCAGTCACAGATTGACTCTGCCTCCCACCTGGAATACCTTGCAACACATGTCTCCATGCGTGACGAACCGTTGCTACAGACAGCTGATCCCATGCCTCCACAAAGAAGTCCACAGCTTTCTTGACGTTGAATTTTCTCCAAAAATGTTTCACAAGTACTTCTTGCTCTGCCAACTGTTGTTCCTCGTCGTCTTCGCTCTTGCTATCGGTGTCAGAGAATGCAGCTTTCACATTACAGATCAATTCTTGGTCCATAGGCTGTATTAATGACGTAGTGTTGGGAGGAAGGAAGACCACTTTTACGTTGGGGTGACGATCCAACAGTAGGGACGAGTGTCCTGGTGCATTGTCAAGCAGCAACAAAATCTTGAATGGAACATTCTGTTGCTCACAGAATTTCTTCACGCCAGGAACGAAACAGTCATCAAACCCCAGGAGAGGGACAGAGTAGAGAACATCCATGCCTTTCGTGCGGTCAGCCAGCGAACATTTAGCTTAGTCATGTCCATGCTCTTGTAGGCGTGCGGCTTGCATGCTGTGTGGATCACCGATAACTTGAGCTTACAGGTACCGGAGGCATTGGTGGTAAACAGGACGGTGATGCGCTCCTTCTGCAATTTCCGGCCCCGACACTTGCTGGCATTCTTCACAACGAAGGTCTTGGAAGGTAGCTTTTTCCAAAAAGACCAGATTCGTCCATGTTAAACACCTGGTCATCGGTGTACTGTCCTTCCTCCATAATCTCACTTAAAAACAGAGGAAATTACCTAGCCACAACACGGTCAGCACTAGCTTCTTCACCACCAATGTTAATGTTGGTGATCTTGTTTCTCTTCTTAAACCTCTGCAACCACCCAGAGGAAGCATTGAAGGGTTTGCGCTCTGCAATTCCCATCTTACGTGACACTGCAGCATACAGTTCACGTGCGTACTCCTTAACTGAGCGCGTGTCCACCGCCATGTTCCGTCGCGCCCTGGATCACACCTCGGATCAAAAGACTTATGCAACAGAGAGACAGAGCCTTTTATCTCGATGACCACATCCGTTACAGGTCCCTACGCAACCGAGTCATCCGCGAAATACGCACTGCAAAGAAGTCTCACTACCCAACCAAATTGCAACACCTGAAGCAGACCAACATCAGTCAATGGTATGGTAAGCTTAAAGAATTCTGTGGACTAAACAATAAGACACACCCCCTCCCCTTCCTTAGCCATCTCACTAATGTTGACGCAGCTGAGCAATCAAATAACCATTTCGCTACTATATGCCAGACACTCCCCCGGCTTGACACAACCACTCTCCCTGCTTACCTACCAGCCCCCTTTCCCACTGACTTAGTAGAAGAATTTGAAGTAGCAAAGCGTCTGGACAAACTAGAGTTAAAAACTCTCTACCACCCCCATTGACTTACCAATGAAACTCTTCAAGGAGTTCTCCCCGGAGCTTGCTAAACCCCTATGCCCCATCATCAATGCTTCTCTCAGTCAAGCCAGATGCCCAGCTGACTGGAAGACCTCTTATGTATCACCAGTGCCCAGGTCAACCAGCCCACAATCCTTAAATCAGCTACGACCTATTGCAATCACCCCAATACCCAGCCTAATCTGTAAAAGTTTTGCGTTCAACTGGGCTTATGCTGATATTGCAGGAGTCGTATACCCTCAGCAATTTGGCAATATGAAAACTTCCTCCACCACTCACGGTCTTGTCAGCTTTCGCGATTACATATACCGCCATCTCGAGAAACGAAAAACGTCTGTAGCTGTCGCCTTCATTGATTTCACTAAAGCATTCAACCTAGTCGTCCACAATTTAATCATCAACAAAGCTATTGACCTCGGGCTTCGGAGAAGTCTTATACCATGGCTTACAGACTTCCTCAGTGACCGACGCCAAGCTGTACGCTTCCTAGGGGCTGTCTCCACCTTTCAGTCACTCACCTGTGGCGTCCCCCAAGGCACCAAGATGGGACCACTCTGCTTCCTTAAGCTTATCAATGATGCCCTAAGAGAAACCCCTGCTCGCTGGAAATATGTCGACGACTCCACCATTGGGATCAGCGTCAACAATTCTGCTCCCGACTACACCGCCCTTCAGGGTTTATTGAACAGTCTCCAAAACTGGGCCACCAACAACCACGTCACCATCAACCATACCAAGACCATGGTTATGCACATCAACCTCTCCTCCGTCATTGTCCCACCCCCTTCCATTACTTTAGGTCCCAACACACTCCAGGTTGTAGATTCCACTAAGCTCCTCGGCCTCACCATAGACAACAAACTAAATTGGAAACCACACGTCAGTGAAGTTGTCAAATCCTCCAGTTTCCGTCTCCACCTCCTCCGCCGACTTAAGTCCCTCGGAGTTCCTGCACCCGAGCTCCTCAGTGTTTACTCAACATTCATACTTCCCAAGCTCAGCTAAGCCTCCCCTACCTGGTCTTCCTCCCTAAATGCCACACAACGTAAACACCTAGAAAAAGTGCAAAAGAGGGCATGCAAGATTATTCTTTCCCCTTGCTACTCCACATATCAAGAAGCTCTCAACACGCTGACCCTTACGACTCTCACTGACAATCACCACGACCTCATCTGCAAATTTGGTAAGAAGCTTCTGCACCATCCTCGACACCGGCTCCTACTACCACCTGAGATCCCTAGCCCGAGAATTGCTGTTCGTCACCACAACCGCATCCAGCCCATACGTGCACGAACTGATCGCTATAAGAACAGCCCAGTCCCAACCATTGTAAAAATTATCAATAACTTGTAATAAACCAGTGTATTCACTCCCAGTAAATCCTACTTCTTGCACTGTCAATATGTTGCAATGCCCTGTAGTTTGAGCTTTTCCCCATCTAGTTATTATATATCTTATTTGTATCACTTATGTTACTTGTTTATTATTTGTAAATCGAAACCCATTCCCCAATTATGTAACTGTATATTTTCAGCCTTCTGGCTGCTATGCTCTTTCAATAAACCGTTAATTATTATTATTAAGTAGCTCACAAGTAATTTCTCCGTCTTGAGAAGCACCTGGTTGTGGCAATACTTGTTCATAGAAGCACCTGTAGACTTTGTGATGTTCATGTGCTCCTTTATCTTGGCTGCATCCTTCTTAATTGTCCGGATCGTAGATTCGTTAACACCATGCTGGCGCGCGAGATCAACCTGTCTTGTTCCTTTCTCCAACTCTTTGATGATCTTGTATTTAATTTCGTAGCTTAGGGAACGTCGTATCTTCTTTGGCTTAGGGCGGCTGGATCCAGGTAATGAAAGGTTTCTATGTGGTGGTGGTGGTGGTCCGGTGGAAGCTATTCTTATGGAACAATGGATACCGATATACACGGTGTACCCGGGAGGGGTGTAACTGGCACGGGTAGGTCAAGGGGCTTGAACGCTCCAGCGAGCGGGGCGTGTCATAGTACATTAAACCAATTGCAGCTAGCGGGGGAGGGAGGTAAGGATGCTTGGCCCAATCACGGTCCGATACGTCATATGACGTCACCGATAACGCAACAAAGACATACACTGCGCAACCTACTCGCGCCGCTTACCCAACATGGCGGGAGGTTTGAATCCAAAAATGGCACGGCGCGAGAGGACCGCCAGCCGCTCTCCGTGTAAAAGAGTACATGCACCACGTAAAGTGAGCATTCCGTGTTTGGCAGGGTACCGCGTAAAAAAAAAAAACGCGTAAGCGGGGTAATACTGTACTGTATTATGTTAAGTTTTAAAGTTTTTAGTTACCAATATTTCTTTTATTACTAGTATATTATTTTTGGTACTGTAAATAGGTGAAAGTATTGTACAGGTAGATCCCGATTTATGAAAATTTAAAGTTATGAATTTTTTTTGTATTATTTGCAAATGAAAACACTATTTTTGCATTATCCTGTATAAAGTTGTATAGATCTCTTGGTTCTGGTTCATCTATTTGTCCCTCAAAAATAAAAATAAGTAAATAAAATTCATAAAATCATTCAAAAGTTACAAATACCTAAGATCAAAGTAGTTTTTGTAAAGCATATCAAAATTGACAAAATTAAATCTAATTATGTGTACAGCATCATTAAGAGATAATATTTTTATATTAAAAACTATTTCATCCACAGTCTCGTTCAAGATTCTTCGAACACTGCTGAAGACAGCTGGCAACTCAAGGCCGTTTGTTTACTACAGTACTTCGTAAAAATTATGAATAAATGTTAAAGTGATTGGTAATTTGTTACTTAGTTGCTTAATTTAATGGTTGGGCTTTGTTGTTTTGTATTATATTATACTTCGTACTATAGTAAACAAACAGCCTTGAGTTGCCAGCTGTCTCCAGCAGTGTTCGAAGAATCTTGAACGAGACTGTACGTACCGTACTGTATTCTGAATCATAACCTTATAGGACACTGTGGTGATATTGAGCACTTACGGCTTGTCAGTTCTCACCTTTATTCTGTAAAAATTTTGCCCCCCCCCCCCTTTTTTTTTTATATACATCAACTTCATAATTTCACAGGAAAAATGTGAGTGATAGTGCTGGGAAGGAGTCCAAAATACCATGAAAAATCATCACTTTGGGTATTTAAATGCAAGCATTAAGGAAATTGGAAGTGGTTGAGTGTCAGGTAAATGTGGGGTAATTCTTTGAACTTGTCTGTCAACAATTTGGAAAACTTTGAAGAAAGCAAACAAGATAAAGGCTTCTGCCAAGACCACCACTCCATTTAATAAATACTTAAATACTGTACTGTGAAAATGTGTGTACCAATACCCAAATGTAGCTCTACATGTCTCCCATAGATAAGTGTAATAACATAATGGTTTACTGACCCCTTTTAGAGCTGATTCAGTTAGGACCCTTTTCTTCAGGAAGAGGGGTATTATTTTAGCTAGATTATTCTGAAAATGAATATAATGTACAACATTTTGGTGTACTTTATAATGAGATGCACAGAATTTAAGTAAGACAAGCGCTGTACAGTACATGTAAATGAAAAAAAGAAAAATGCAGTTAAATTTGCAAACATTAAAATCATAACTTTGGAATCAGTGAAGATGTTGAAGTGATTCAAGTGGCAGATTGTAGCATTATTAGTGCAGATTTAATTGATACTAGTGAACGCATCATACAGTATTGTTTTGGGGCATATCGGCACTTGTCCTACTTCAGTTCTGTGCACCTCATATGCAACAAAGCTACTTGACATCATCACAGAGGTTGTGTATGTCATGTTAGTTATTGGTTGTCTCACTTGCAGTTCATATTTAAAGGAGTATCAGTGTGTAGTGTCCATGCAAATCAGGTCCTTGTATGTGTTACATGCATTCAGTGGCACCAGTCACCTTGACAAAGACCTGTTTGTCTTTGGCTGCCATCCACACAATTAGTGTACAGTTTTAATCAAAACTGTTAGTCTTGTTTTCTTCAGGCAATATTATCACCACTTTGAATTTGTTTTTTGTAGATGGACTGTTTCTTGAATTATCTTTTATGAAATTATACAACATGACACCTTCTCATCTACAAGCATTACTGGATAAGATCGACTTAAGATAATATGTGGAGTAGGTAGAATTTAGCTATGTTCAACAGATGGCACATTTCAACTGGTCCTGGGTGCTATTATGACAGCTTGCAAAATTTATTCCTTCCTTGTTAGAGTGACACTGACCTAGTGTTGCCAAACTAGGATACCCAAATTTCCTGTGTGGAAAAAACATTAATAGAATTTCTTGTTTGACATTGCCAGCAAATATAAATCACCAATGGTAACTTGTCTTACTGAGAGGTAAGGTGCAAATGTACAGTACAGCTGCTTCTCAACTTACGATGGGGTTAAGGACCCAAATCCAGGTCGTAAGTCAAAAATGCTTAAATAATACAGGGGTACATAGAAAATCTAAAATGGGTGTCTCATTTTCTTCTCAGCACCACAAAACCCTCACTTTTAAGCTTGCCAGCCATTTTAAAGTGAATTACAAACGAAAATTTTGTCAGTACACAGCACAATCACTAATGTTGGGACTCGAAAATTCGTAATTTGACAAAATTTTGGTACGACTGAGGCGGTCGTATATGCGGGTAGTCGTAAGTCGAGGAGTAGCTGTACAACCATTTAAAATTTTGATGGACATTGTGGTTTAAAAGTTATTATTGGTGAAATGTTTAAATGTTATTTGTGCTTGCTAGTGTTGGGTATAAGTGAAATATGTGCAGAAGTGTTCATGGTAGTGCTGAGGTATGATATTGTTACACTGCTGGTGGAGAAAGAGATAAGTTTCTAATAAGGACCTTATTTCTCTTGTCAGGAACTCTGTTTTGTATATACTGTACTATGCAGTATTTTATTGTTAGGCATGATTCTATGTTGAGGCAGTAAGACCAATAGATAGGTTTCATGTTTTAATGTATTGTCCTTAACATGTGTGTATATTGGTTGTTATTTTGTGTATAGGCTTCTTAAATATATATTCATTCTTTCTATTGTAAAGAAAGAATTCTTGTTTTAACAGTAAGAATACAGTATGCTATTTTTACAGGAGACGACAGAGAGTTGCCTGGCAGCCCTGAGAATGATGGTGGTGGACGGGAAGGTGGTGGCTGGTGGGGGTTGCCTTGAGGCCTGGCTCGCTGGTCAAGTCAGTCACCTTATTAACAGCAACATGCAGCACCTGACTGAGATCACAGATGCTGCTCCTCACCATGTAGTCAAGGTAGAGCCTTGTCAAAACTCATTGTTGGACTGCATTGGTTTAAAGTATGATGATGCTCTTGTGCATATACAGTACAGGCAACTCCCCCCCCCCAAGATACGATGGGGATATGTTCCTGAAAAAAATATCGCTAGGTGAAATATCGTAAATAGGGGGCATTATAACATGGGGTTCAATGGGATACGTTTCCAGCCAGTCCCTAAACACACATGTATCACCGACAAAAAATTTCTTACACTACTACTATCAGTAGAAAACAAGTAAATAACCCTCACCACATCATACTGGTCATCATGGATGCCTTGGCCCTCCAGACATTTTCCAAGTTACACTGCTCACTTCACAGTCACAAAAACAGAGCAAAAGCACTTGTCACAAGAACAGATCAAACGATGGTAACAGAAAGAATGATAGCGGCCGACACTGCTCACATTTCAAAACAATTGAGGCGATGCACCTTACAATCAGAAAAACACAGAAAATATCAATTCACAGACACCATAACACAGTTTAATCTAAATGTTTCGTTACACTGATAAGTATTATGTACAGTCGCACCCAAAAGTTCGTTAACTCTCCCAGCCAGCTGCCTACTTCAGATGTATGAACTTGGGTCTGCTACTTTGAACCATTAGATTCATTCGTATCGGTTTCATGTTCTGGTTGGTACTGAGACAGTTTCAAACATCTGGAGCAGGCAGTGCAGCAATAGATGGCTGGGAGAGTTAACAAACTTTTGGGTGAGACTGTACAATGCTGGCCGATAATTATGGTGGGTCTTAAGATGGACTGTGTGGTCGCTTGTGGGTAGGCTGTCAAGTGAAGGTAGAGAAGCATGGTGCATAGGGTTAAATATTGTTTCCTCATAAAATGTCACTGACTTGACATAGAAAAATATAACTTGCATTGCTGGAATCCTTGCAAGACAGCAATTAATTTGAGTATAAACAACCCATAGTTTGCACTAGAGGAAAAACAATTCTAACCACTGACTATTCATGGATATCGTTAAAGTGATGGTGTTAATTTATAACCATTGTTAAAGTGAAATATTGTTTCTCGGGGTTTACCTGTACAGTACAGTGATATCGTCATTAACCGGAACAATTGGTGCAGAGCACTTTCGGGAATGAGGGATTTCTGGGTAATGAGACGACTCTCTCAAAGCCAGAAAAAAAAGCCTCATCCTCAGAATTTTCCCAGAAATGGAAAAATGTTCTCGGAAGCTCCAGAGTGATGCATTATTTCATCTCTCAAAGCCGGAAAAAGCCGTTTTTTCCAAAAAAACAGTTTTTGTGATATAGCTCGAATGCAACGCTCAGCAATGCTACCTAGGTATGTTAATTACTGTAAATATTTTCTTGGAATTTCCGGAAAATTACCCTAATTTTTATCTCTCAAACCCGCAATAAAAATCCCACTTCCCCGAAGGTTTCTGGGCACTGGAAAAATTTCTCAGAATTTTCCAGAAAATGTGTCCCTTGGAAAATTGTTCCCCAAGTTGAAAGTTTCTGGAAAATTCCGGCATTGGGAATGATTTTCCGAGAAAATTTCTATTCCAACTATCGGAGAGTTCCAGGTTTGAGGGATTCAGGCTAAAAGAGATATTACTGTATACAGTGGCCCCTCGGTTAACGAATGGTTCGGTTAACGAATTACCTTCCATAAGAATTTTCAATTCGGTTAACGAACAAAAATTCGATTAACGAAATCCTTATGAACATGACGTTTTGTTGTGAGCATCAGCTGATGGGTTAGTCTGCCAATTCAGTAATCTGTTCTATGTTTACATTCGTTTCCAGTGGAGTAAGTATCAAGAAAATTGTGCTCTTTAATATTTTTCCATTTTTTATATTAAAATTATTGGTCATTCTAAAATTTAGCCATCCAAGCTCTGTCTACATAAAGTTTTTCAACTTTTATTTTTGGCTCGATATATGTAACTTTATTCATTTATTGAAACTCATTTACATGCACACACTGTCCTAAGGGCAAAGCTGTACTGTGCATGTAATCAAAATAATGTACAAAATGAATACTAAAATTTTAGTCTAGTGCAAACTATTGCATATTTACATTAAAATTAATCACCATCTTATAAGAATTCCAGCAATGTCAATTATATTCTCCTCGGTCACTTCTATGAAATTTTATTAGCAAAAAACAAAACTCAATCTAAAGGACATAAATAAACAAATAAATACTTCACTAGACCTTCGGCACTAACTGTCAAACATGTCACTGTCACCCCACCCCCCCTCCCAGCAAGGGTTTGGTGGTTATACAGTAGGCTTTAAGTTTTTATCTTATATAATATTACAGATTACAGTTAGAATATAATTTGCATTGCTGGAATCCTTGAAAGACAGTGAATAATTTAAATATAAACGTCATATATTTTGCAACGATAAAAATTTTAGTATACCCTGTATTAGTGTACAGTACGGTAGTACATTTTATAATGTAAAGTTTTTCAACTGTATTTTTGGGTAGATTTACCTAAATTTCTTCATTTATTTTCATTCATTTACATGCACACACCATACTGAAAGAAACATAAATGAAATACTGTAAATGACCTAAGTGCAAACCTGTAGTGTACATGTACTAAAAGATAACGGTACTAAAATTGTTATGTCTCCCGTATATCTCAGCCTACAAGGCTACGGGGTGTATAAGACGACCCCCCAAATTTCCATTTAAAAAGTAGGGTTTGAGCTCTATTCGCTGCATAAGACTACCCCAAATGTGACACTTACCATTGGGAGCTTACTGACCCAGTAGTCCTTTACCAACCATCCCACTGACCAATGCTATTTACACATCCTTGGTTATTTAAAATCAGGCCAATTCACTTCAAGTAATGGCATCAAATGTTACCGGCTGGTGTAGTGTAAACACTAGTGACGTCACTTAAGCGTCTGTTATTTAATGTCGGTGTCGAGTAAAATTTTTCCATTTACAGTGGTCCCTCGGTTAACGAATGGTTAGATTAACGAAATTTCGGTTAACGAATTACCTCCCATAAGGATCTTCAATTCGGTTAACGAACAAAACTTCGATTAACGAAATCCTTACGAACATCACGTTATGTTGTGAGCATCAGCTGATCAGCTGATGGGCTAATCTGCCAATTCAGTAATCTGTTCTATGTTTACATTCGTTTCCCATGGAGTAAATATCAAGAAAGTTGTGCTTTTTAATATTTTTGCATTTTTTATATTAAAATTATTAGTCATTATAACATTTAATTAACATATTGATAATATATGCAGTACAGGGAACTAGTTTTTTGTGCGTCCATCAGACGCTTGACTCAGCCACCAGGCGTCAGTTTGGCTTTGTTGACAGTGGAGTGAACATCTGTTTTGTTGGTGTCTTGAATATTTCTGCATTTTTACATTGAAATTATTGGTCATTCTGAAATTTAGTTAACATATTGATAATATATAGTGCAGTGCAGTGTTAATTTAAATAAAATAATCTTGAATTACACCCAGTGAACTTAAAATTTTATTGGTGAAATAACAGCATCAAGCATGGGTCCCCTGAAAGGTGATTTCTCTTCCATCCCCACTTCCTTCTCTTCTCCCTTCTCCTCCACCCCCTCTTCTAATTCCCATCATCATCAACCAGGAACCTTCTACATACACACCTCAAAGTAAGTGTACTTTACAGCATTTTTTTTTTTTTTTTTACTTTGTATGTACTTTTCGGTGAGCTAGAACCAATTACCCAATATCCCATTGAAATAATGGATTCGGTTAAAAAATATTTCGGTTAACGAACGACCCTCTGGGTTAACGAAATTTTCGGTTAACGAACGACCCTCTGGAACGAATTGTGTTTGTTAACCGAGGGACCACTGGACTTGAAATGGATTTACCGATTTATTTATTTATTTATTTATTTGTAATATACTGTAATAGCAGAGTAGACAACAATGACCCTAAATGGATAAATAATTATTTAAAGAATATTATTGGACAAAAGAAGGCTATACCCGGTAGGTGAAGTTTACTTGTGTTAGGTTTTAAATGCAAGAAAGTGGTTTTCTTACCGTAGAACTCAGATACCTTCACACTGATTACTCACCCAGAAGATTATGGTGTATCACTACGTAGAATTTCATTCTGCTTCCGGCATTCAATGTGTTGTGTACTTGATAAATGATGATTCAATGAATTCCATTAATTGGTTATACTTTGTCATAACCAATTAGTCATCTCCTTTGGTAATAATAATAATAGAGGGGTCCCAGATACGGGCAGATAATTGCACTTACGTTTATTAGGCACAATTCCATACACTGGAGTTATAATTGCATGGATAGGTCAGCCACTCACATTCGTGCCACAGTACCGTAAGTTATAAGGGAGAGTTTGTCAACCTGGAGAATTAATCGTTTAGATCTATTAGGCCAGCCTGGAGTGCTCTTGTAGCAAACAGGCCCTCACCAGTGATCACTTCCTTTAGAGGATGCATTAACTTTCGCTGGACTTAACAACAATCTCGGGGATTTGCACACACAGACTCGTAGCACTGTATGGCCCCTGTTCTAAGTCCGCGGAGCAGGAGGTCTTCTCTCAACCAAGGTCTAAAGCCCACTGACTAAAATGTGGTTTTGAGGCGTGAAATGATGACCCCTATCGGCTGGCCGGGTACCTTATCTCTACCTAAACAAACATTTGGGATGGGTTGTGCGGGAGGCCCAACGCAACCCATGACAACTTGATAAATTTATGGTTGCATCATCATTAAGGATCAAACTCCGAATCAGATGACGTGACTTCGGCTTCTTCATTCTCATCCTAAATTTAGCATGAACTACCACTGTTGGTAGTTTCAAGAATTATCGCAGCCATTTACTGAATATTCTTTGTAAAAAAATTAATTTTAAATGAATTATTTATAGGAGATCAGTATTATGATCAGTAAATATACCTGTATGCATTACTGGCCACTTCGGACACAAAGACAGGCTAAAAATAGCCCTATCTCCCCCTCTTACAGCGGCCAGTGGGAAGCGTCTTGGTAATTGAATTTTGTTTGTTTAATTTATCATGTTGTATCAAACTAATATGACTAAAAGTTGTGGAGGTAGTAGTCAGCTACCAAACGGGGAGATACTACCGCCTGGGAAGATATTGAAAGCATAATGTATTGTCTAATGGTAGACCCTGCTTCCATATGGCATCACAAAAATTGTGACCAAGTCCCAGGTTGCTAATCTGACTTTCTGTCTCATTTACACACAATTGCAGAGTTTCAATTGTTTCTCTTACTTAGACAACACAACATACATACGGTACAGTATATTGTTTCTCACTTTTTATTTTATTTTTTTTTATAGTTCTTTATTATTACTATTTTATTTTAAAATTTACAATTTTTATTATTAATTTTATTTACCATGAATTATTAATATTATTATTATTATTACATTTTCGCCCCCCAGACACCGATGTGGGTCAGTGACTTGTGCCCGGGTGGGCTAATCCCCATTAAAATAAGAGATAATAATGCTATGATTGTGTTATAAATATTTTTATTTGTGGAATTATTATTCCGATAATTATTTGTAAAACCTACGTGGTCTCCCAAGGTAAAGCCTGGTGACAGTCTGCGTGGGTGTGTCACCGAGAACTTCTTATGAAGAGTAATGCAAATAAAATAAAGTCCAAATGAATTATTTATGGGAACTACGTATTGTGATCAGTAAAGAAATGCATAATTGGCCAACTCGAACACAGAGGCAAGCGGGAAAATAACCCCTAAAAGTGCAAAGTGACAGTTAGCGCTGGATGTAAAAAAACCATTTTCCCCTTTTTGTCTCGTCACTGGCAAATGGCGGGCGGTGCGTGATGATAGCTGCGTTTATTACCGGGTTATGTTGTTATTTTATAGTATGTTAGACAGGTTTATAATACATTTTTATTATTTTAATATACCGGTAATCTTATTTTTAATTCAGCTTCCCAAACGTAAGTTTCAGTATAAAATAATTAGTGGTAGGACCGTGTGAGTGTTTTACAATGTTCTCCATCACCACTCTTGACAAGCTAAGCCACAATATGTAAGAATTTTATACCTGGTATAAAGACGACCCCTAATTTTGGGCTGATTTTTTTAAGGTTCAAATTCCGTCTTATAGGCCGAGATATACTGTAGTGCAAATAATAGCTTGTTTATATTCAAATTAATCACTATCTTATAAGAATTCCAGCATTGTAAATTATATTCTCCCCGGTCACTTCTATGAAATTTTATAAGCAAAAACAAAAACTCAATCTAAAGGACATAAATAAACAAATACAGTTGTACCCCACTTAACGCGGTCAATAGAACCCAGAGGGTCCCGTGTTAAGTGAAATTCGCGTTAAGTGAACAACAGAACATATGGGATTAATTCCAATAGAAACCGGCCCGACCCCCAAACTCCACTTTTTGAAGACACATAACTATGTTGTAGTAAAAATAACATCTTAATTTTATGATGGTACATGCACACAATTAATACTTAAGAGAAATAGAGAAATACAGTCGCCAAGTTAATGTCCATTCAAATAATGGACTCAACTCCCTCCCCCTCTCACACTACACTGCCGGCTCTTCCCTCTCTGAGAAATTTTTGGGGGAAAACCACTAAATTTTAATAAATAATACCTCAAACTAAAGTTAGGATAATACAATTGACATTGCTGGATTCCTTGTAAGACCAGGAATATTTTGAATATAAATGTCATATATTTTGCACAAAAGATAACATAGTTACTCAGAAAATTTTTTTATCTAAAATTTGTATGTCTAATGCAAAATATATGATGTTTATATTCAAAATGATCACCAAATTATAAGAATTCCAGCAATGTAAATTATATTCTGGCCGGGTAATTTGTATGAATTTTATGAGCTAAAACAAATATCTTCAGTTAATAAAAAAAAAAATAATCTTCAGGACACTATCTGTCAATCAAAGTACCCCACCTTGCCTTCCCCCTCTTCCAACCGCGCGGTCAGTCCCAACCCTCCCCCCCACCCCCCACCAATCATCCCTTCAAGAGAAGAGTGGGTGAAAAATTTAGATTTTAACATTTTGTATTAAATAATACCTCAGATTAAAGTTAGGATAATATAATTGACATTGCTGGATTCCTTGTAAGACCAGGAATATTTTGAATATAAACGTCATATATTTTGCACAAAAGATAACATTCTTACTCAGATTAAACATTTTATCTAAAAATTTTATGTCTAATGCAAAATATATGATGTTTATATTCAAAATGATCATCAAATTATAAGAATTCCAGCAATGTAAATTATATTCTGACCGGGTAATTTGTATGAATTTTATGAGCTAAAACAAATATCTTCAGTTAATAAAAAAAAAAAAATATTCTTCACGGGTAACAGATGGTCGGTCGGTCCCTCCCTCCCCCCCACCCCCCACCAACCGTCCCAAGGAGATGTGTGGGAAAACCAGAATACTTAACTTTTTTGTAATAAATAATACCTCAAACTAAAGTTAGGATAATATAATTGACATTGCTGGATTCCTTGTAAGACCAGGAATATTTTGAATATAAATGTCATATATTTTGCACAAAAGATAACATAGTTACCCAGAGAAAAAATGTTATCTAAAATTTGTATGTCTAATGCAAAATATATGATGTTTATATTCAAAATGATCACCAAATTATAAGAATTCCAGCAATGTAAATTATATTCTGGCCGGGTAATTTGTATGAATTTTATGAGCTAAAACAGGCAGTCAGGCAGGTTGGCATGTGGGGCAAATCTAAAAATAGCGTCTCCAGCCGGACACTCACCGCGTATATGTGGAAAAAATCCGTGTTAAGTGAAAGTTCAGCTCTGGCGAGGCACCGCGTATATGATAAAACGCGTTAAGTGAAACCGCGTTAGGCGGGGTAATACTGTAAATACTTCACTAGACCTCGGCGCCAACTGTCATACATGTCACTCTCCCGCCCTCTCCCCCCCCACTCCCAGCAAGGGTTTGGTGGTTATACAGTAGACTTTAAGTTTTTATCTTATATAATATCACAGACTAAAGTTAGGAGAATATAATTTGCATTGCTGGAATCCTTGCAAGACAGCGAATAATTTGAAAATAAACGTCATATATTTTGCACAAGAGATAAAAATTTTAGTACACTAGTGTACAGTACAGTAGTACATTTTATAATGTAAAGTTTTTAAACTGTATTTTTGGGTAGCTTTACGTAAATTTCTTTATTTATTTCAATTCATTTACATGCACACAACATTCTGAAAGAAACATAAAAGAAATAAATGTCCTAAGTGCAAACCTGTAGTGTACATGTACTAAATGATAACGGTACTAAAATTGTTATGTCTAGTGCAAATTATAGTTTGTTTATATTCAAATTAATCACCGTCTTACAAGAATCCCAGCAATGTAAATTATATTCTCCCAGGTCATTTCACTGGCATTTTATAAGAGAGAAGCTTAGTCACTTAAGGACTGATAAATAAACATACATTAGACCTTGGGTGCCAACTGTCAAACCTATCACCTCACCTCACCTCCCGCTCCCCCCCTCCCTCACCCCCATCTGCCCAGCCAGGGTTTTAGGCTTACAGTTTTTATCTTATATAATATCTCAGACTAAAGTTAGAATATAATTTGCATTGCTGGAATCCTTGCAAGACAGCGAATGATTTGAATATACACGTCATATATTTTGCACAAGAGATAAAAATTAATCGCCTGTATCACATTACAGTAGTGATTTAAGAGTAAGAGTGTACATGTACGTATGTATAGAAATAGTGATTTAAGGGTGATTTAGGGGAATTTTAGGGGTGCTTCTGACTTTATACATTTTTGGCTTTACTCTGTATGTACTTTTCTGTGAGCTGGAACCAACTACCCAATATCCCATTGAAATAATGGATTCGGTTAACAAAATTTTCCGTTAACGAATGACTCTGTGGAACGAATTGTGTTCGTTAACCGAGGGACCACTGTACTGTAAATTGAATTTGGCTATGAGAAATACTGTACACACTTTCAAGCATCTCCGCATCAAAAACTTAATGCAATTTCTCAGAAATTCATTTCCATGCCTGGAAAAGAGAAATTTTCTCAGAATTTTTCATAATGTGCCTGATGCAATCCTCATTCCCATGCCCTGAATGGAGCAATTTTTTTCCATAATTTGTCGGATTGCTAAAAAAAAATTTATTTGCCTATTGGAGAGTTTCAGGTATCGAAGATTCTGGCGAACAGAGAGAGACTACTATGTTAGATTGCACGTGGTGTTGTGATATTCTTAGTGTGGGTAGTTTTAAAATTACCTACTTTTTTTTTTGTCAGTGTTACTTTGAAAATACAATTGTGATAGCTTTCCTTTGCCTTTTAGTTTAAAAATTCTAACAGTTAAAGAACAATTCGGTGTCTCATTTTGTGATTTGTTGTCATTGGCTAGGCTCAGTCCTGCAGTGTAAAGTGTTTTATTGGACAAACAATTGCTGGGTCTTTTGACACATTGGTTGTGGAAATAATCAGTGATAAGGTTGTGTAGCTAATATTTTTGGTTTAGAGTTTTCTTGTAATAAAATGAATAAAACAGAATCTTGTGTTTCAGGTTGCAAGCATCTTCCTCCGTGTGTTCATAGAACTGGCTCTCCAGCTTGGAGGTGGTTCATCATCAACAAGATTTGATTGGTCACTGGATTCTGTCTTCCACCACTTGTGGCACACTCAACCCAAGATTGTGAAGGAAGATGGTGGAAGGTGTAGCACACACTCACCATTGAATTCTCAGAATTGTGTGTGTGGCTTAGTAAAGGAAGAAGTCCTCAAGTATAAACATAATGGATTATGGCATCCAGTTGAGTTTCAGCTGCAGTATAATATTACTGGACCAAGATCAAAATCTAGTAAATATGGAAGAAACAAAGCCGGTAAGTCTCCAAGAAGTGCAGATGGTCACAGCAGTAAATCAAATTTTGAGGGCACATGGAGTAATGATTCATCAGTGAGTGACTTTGGATTCCACAACCTTGATTTGGAAGCTGACAGCCTGGAGGAGGCAGGAGAGACAACTGAAGAAGAAGTGGATAGTCTTGAGAAAGTAGTTAATAGTCAGGAAGAAGAATTGGACAGTTTAGAAGGAAAACTTGACAGTTTTGATATTGAGGAAGACATGGATAGCTTGGAAGACATACTAAATGGGACTGCCGAACCAAATCAGGTACAGGATGACATGGTTCCTAAAGCCAAACTTGAAGCACAGGCACAGGAAGCATTGTATGACAGCTTCCCTGCAAAGTACAATGCTATAAGACTTGCTCTAGAAGGCTTTACCCAGTTGTTTCATATTGGTCAGTGTGTGTTTGATAAATGAATTGTTTAATCTGATTTACAACTATAGTGTACAGCGAATAAAAATGTTTAATTTTATTTTTGGCTTTTGAAGCCCTTAGTTGGCAAGGTACATTGATCTCTGTGCTGTGTGCAGGACAGTGGAGGAACCTCATAAAGTGAACAGGAGAAACCCCAATACTTCTACCATTCTGTCTACACAGTAACAAACTTGTAGGGAGAATACAATTATTTTTTTTTAATTGGTGGAAAATTTTTGAGCCCTGACCACCTTTGGGAACATACATGCCCTACAGCTCTGAACCTCCTGGGGAACACACACATGCCTTACAGTCTGACCTGGTGGACACACACACACGTCTCACAGCCCTGACCTTCTAGGGAACACACACATGCCTTACAGCCTGAGCCTTCTGGTGGACACACACACACACACGTTTTACAGCCCTGACCTCCTGGGGAACACACACACACACATATGCCTTACAACCCTGACCTCCTTGGGTACAAACACACATGACTTACAGCCCTCACTTCCTGGAAGACACAGATGCCTTACAGCCATGACTTCTGGTGGACACACACACACACACACATGTCCAACAACCTTAACCTCCTGGGGGACACACACACATGCCCTACAGCACTGACCTCCTGGGGAACACACACATGCCCTACAGCGCTGACCTCCTGGGAAACACACATGCCTCACAGCCCTGACCTCCTGGGGAAACACATGCCTTACAGCCCTGACCTCCTGGGACACACACATATGCCTTGCCCTGACCTCCTGGGGAACACACACATGCCTTACACCTTGACCTCCTGGGGAACACACACATGCCCTACAGCTCTGACCTCCTGGGAACACACACATGCCTTGCCTTTGATCTCCTGGGAACACACACATGCCCTACACTGACCTCCTGGGGAACACACACATGCCTCTACAGCTCTGACCTCCTGGGGAACACACATGCCTTACAGCCCTTATCTCGTGGGGGACACACACATGCCTGAAAGCCCTGACCTCCTGAAGGACAAACATGCTCAACAGGACTGATCTCCTGGACAACACACATATGCCTTACAGCCCTAACTTCCTGGGGAACATACACACATCTTACAGCCATGACCTTCTGGGGAACACACATGCCTTATAGCCCTGACCTCCTCGGGACACACACATGTCCTACAACCCTGACGTCCTGGGGTACACACACATGCCTTATAGTGCTGACCTCCTGGGGACACGCACATGCCCTACAGCCCTGACCTGAGGGACACACACATGCCTTACAGCCATGACCACCTAGGGAACACACGTCTTAAAGCCCTGATCTCTTGGGGAACATACACATGCCTAACAGCCCTGACCTCCTGGGGAACACACACATACCCTACAGCCCTGACCTCCTGGGGAACACACACATGCCTTACAGCCTGACCTCACACACACACATCTTACAGCCCTGACCTGGGGAACACATACACAACCCTGACCTCCTGGGGAACACACATGCCTACAGCCTGACCTGGACACACACACACACACGTCTTACAGCCCTAACCTTCTGGGGAACACATACGTGCCTTACAGCTCTCACCTCCTGGGGAACACACACATGCCTTACACCTGACCTCCTGGGGACACACACATGCCCTACAGCTCCTGACCTCCTGGGGGACACATACATGCCTTACAGCTCTGACCTCCTGGGGCTCACATGCCTTACAGCCCTGATCTCTGGGGGGCACACATTCCCTACAGCCCTGCCCTCCTGGGGAACACACACATGCCTTACAGCCCCTGATTTTCCTTGGGGGCACACACACATGCCCTACAGCCCTGACCTGGGGAACACACACATGCCTTACAGCCCTGATCTCCTTGGGGCACACACATGCCCTACAGCCCTGACCTGGGGAACACACATGCCTTACAGCCCTGATCTCTTGGGGCACACACACATGTCCTACAGCCCTGACCTCGTGGGGAACACACATGGCCCTGACCTCGTGGGGGACACACATCCCTTACACCTTTGACCTCCTGGGGACACATGCCTTACAGCCCTGACCTCCTGGGACACACTGACCTCCTGGGAACACGCCCTACAGCCCTGACCTCCTGGGGAACACACACATGCCCTACAGCTCTGAACCTCCTGGGGAACACACACATGCCTTACACCTTTGACCTCCTGGGGAACACACATGCCCTACAGCCCTGACCTCCTGGGGAACACACACATGCCCACAGCTCTGACCTCCTGGGGAACACACACACATGCCTACAGCTCTGACCTCCTGGGACACACACACATGCCTTACAGCTCCTGACCTCCTGGGGAACACACACATGCCCTACAGCTCTGACCTCCTGGGACCTCCTGCACACACATGCCCTACAGCCCCTCCTGGGGAACACACACATGCCTTACAGCCTGACCTCCTGGGGAACACACACATGCCCTACAGCCTGACCTCCTGGGGACACACACACATGCCCTACAGCCTGACCTCCTGGGGAACACACACATGCCCTACAGCTCTGACCTCCTGGGGACACACACATACCCCTACAGCCCTGACCTCCTGGGGACACACACATACCTTACAGCCCTGACCTCCTGGGGGACACACACATGCCCTACAGCCCTGACCTCGTGGGGACACACACATCCCATTGACCTCCTGGGGACACACACATGCCCTACAGCCCTGACCCCGGGAACACACACATGCCTTACAGCCCTGACACACACACCCCTTACACCTACCTCCTGGGAACACACACATGCCCTACAGCCCTGACCCCCGGGAACACACACATGCCCTACAGCCCTGAGGAACACACACATGCCCTACAGCCTGACCTCGTGGGGGACACACACATCCCTTACACTTTGACCTCCGGGGACATAACATGCCTTACAGCCCCGACCTCCTGGGGAACGCACACATGCCCTACAGCCCTGACTTCATGGGAAACACACAAATACCTTACAGCCCTGCCCTCCTGGGGGACAAACTCATATGCCTGGCTTGTCTTATAGCCCTGAACTCTTGGTGGACACACACACACACACACACACACACACGCCTTACAGCCCTGACCTCCTGGGGAACATGCATGTCTTACAGCCCTGACCTCCTGGTGGACACACACATCTTACAGCCCTGACCTCCTGGTGGACACACACATCTTACAGCACTGACCTCTTGGTGGACACACACACATGCATTACAGCCCTGACTTCCTGGGGAACACACACATGCCTTAAACCCCTGACCTCGTGGTGGAGACACACATGCCTTACACCTCTGACCTCCTGGTGGGGAGACATGCCTTACAAGCCCTGATCTGGGGAACACACACATGCCTTATAAAGCCCTGACCACCTGGTGGACACACACATTCCCTGACCTCCTGGGGGACACACACATGCTTTACCGCCCTGGCCTCCTGGCGAACACACATCTTATAGCCTTGACCTCCTGGGGGACTCTTCATGGGAACACACACGTCTTAACAGCCCTGACCTCCTGTGGGACATGCACATATGCCCCACATCCCTGATCTACTGGTGGACACACACATGCCTTACAACCCTGACCTTCTGGGGAACATACACATGCCTTACAGCCCTGACCTCTTGGGGGACACACACATGTCTTACAGCCCTAACTTCCTGGTGGACACACACACACATGCCTTACAATCCTCACCTTCTGGGGGACGCACACACACACATCTTACAGCGCTGATCTTCTGATGGGGATCACACATGCCTTCCATCCCTGACCTCCTGGGGAACAAACACATGCCTTACAGCCCTGACCTCCTGGTGGACTCACATGCCTTACAGTCCAGACCTCCTGGGGAACCCACACATGCCTTACAGCCCTAAACTCATGGGGAACACACACATGCCTTACAGCCCTAACCTCCAGAGGAACACACACATGCCTTACAGCCCTGACCTCCAGAGGAACACACACATGCCTTACAGCCCTGACCTCCAGAGGAACACACAATTGCCTTATACAGCCCTGACCACCTGGTGGACACACACACACATTCCCTGTCCTCTTGGACACACACACATGCTTTACTGCCCTGACCTCGTGGTGGACACACACACACACATGCTTTACCGCCCTGACCTCCTGGGGAACACACACTTGGCTTTCAGCCCTGATCTCCATGGGAGCACACACACGTCTTAACAGCCCTGACCTCTTAGGGGACACACACACAATCCTTACAGCCGTGACCTCCTTTGGGACACACATCTTACAGCCCTGACTTCCAGTGGGACATGCACATATGCCAAACAACCCTGATCTTCTGGTGGACACACACACACACATGCCCTACAACCCTGACTTCCTGTGGGACACACACACACACACACACGTTACAGCGCTGATCTTTTGAAGGAGATCACACATGCCTTGCATCCCTGACCTCCTGGGGAAGATACACATGCTTTACAGCCCTGACCTCGTGACGGACACACACATGCCTTACAGCTCTTACTTCCTGATGGACACACACATGCCTTACAGCCCTCACTTCCTGGTGGACTCACACATGCCCTATAGCCCTCACCTCCTGGTGGATACAAACACATGCCCTACAGCCCGGACCTCCTGGTGAATACAAACACATGCCCTACAGCCCTGACCTCCTCGGGGACACAAACACGTCCTACTAAGTTGCCCATACAACTATGAAATATGGCATGGGTGATCATCAGGAAGTGTAAAATGATTATATTAACTTAGTTATATTGAAAAATGCCTAGCCCCTCTCAAGTGGATAGGGTGGAGGGGCATATTATAATGCTTCTAATAGTGGTATTGTATGACGTCATTGATCTTTGTTCAATGAAATACTAAAGAATCAAAGAATGCAAAACAAGCACTACTCAGCCAATGAGAAATAGAGTACAGGTATATGATGTGCATTACATCCCTGTCTTAAGAATTGCATTAATTGTAGGGAGGATGACTATATAAGAAATATTACCTTTCATGCAAGTATATGAATAAACTTCCTTGATATTTTA